AGGGAGGCAGTGATGGAAGCAGTGATGGAGAGAGGCAGTGAGGGAGGGAGGCAGCGATGGAGAGAGGCAGCGATGGAGGGAGGCAGCGATGGAGGGAGGCAGCGATGGAGGGAGGCAGCGATGGAGGGAGGCAGCGATGGAGGGAGGCAGCGATGGAGGGAGGCAGCGATGGAGGGAGGCAGCGATGGAGGGAGGCAGCGATGGAGGGAGGCAGCGATGGAGGGAGGCAGCGATGGAGGGAGACAGCGAGCGATGGAGACAGCGATGGAGAGGGGCAGCGATGGAGAGGGGCAGCGATGGAGAGGGGCAGCGATGGAGAGGGGCAGCGATGGAGAGGGGCAGCGATGGAGAGGGGCAGCGATGGAGAGGGGCAGCGATGGAGAGGGGCAGCGATGGAGAGGGGCAGCGATGGAGAGGGGCAGCGATGGAGAGGGGCAGCGATGGAGAGGGGCAGCGATGGAGAGGGGCAGCGATGGAGAGGGGCAGCGATGGAGAGGGGCAGCGATGGAGAGGGGCAGCGATGGAGAGGGGCAGCGATGGAGAGGGGCAGCGATGGAGAGGGGCAGCGATGGAGAGGGGCAGCGATGGAGAGGGGCAGCGATGGAGAGGGGCAGCGATGGAGAGGGGCAGCGATGGAGAGGGGCAGCGATGGAGAGGGGCAGCGATGGAGAGGGGCAGCGATGGAGAGGGGCAGCGATGGAGAGGGGCAGCGATGGAGAGGGGCAGCGATGGAGAGAGGCAGCGATGGAGAGAGAGGCAGCGATGGAGAGAGGCAGCGATGGAGAGAGGCAGCGATGGAGAGAGGCAGCGATGGAGAGAGGCAGCGATGGAGAGAGGCAGCGATGGAGAGAGGCAGCGATGGAGGGAGGCAGCGATGGAGAGAGGCAGCGATGGAGAGAGGCAGCGATGGAGAGAGGCAGCGATGGAGAGAGGCAGCGATGGAGAGAGGCAGCGATGGAGAGAGGCAGCGATGGAGAGAGGCAGCGATGGAGAGAGGCAGCAGATGGAGAGAGGCAGCGATGGAGAGAGGCAGCGATGGAGAGAGGCAGCGATGGAGAGAGGCAGCGATGGAGGGAGGCAGCGATGGAGGGAGGCAGAGATGGAGGGAGGCAGTGATGGAGGGAGGCAGGGATGGAGGGAGGCAGTGATGGAGGGAGGCAGTGATGGAGAGAGGCAGTGATGGAGAGAGGCAGTGATGGAGAGAGGCAGTGATGGAGGGAGGGAGGGATGGAGGGAGGCAGTGATGGAGGGAGGCAGTGATGGAGGGAGGCAGTGATGGAGGGAGGCAGTGATGGAGGGAGGGAGGGATGGATAGAGGCAGTGATGGAGGGAGGCATTGAGGGAGGGATGGGAGGCATTGAGGGAGGGATGGGAGGCAGTGATGGAGGGAAGTATTGAGGGGGAGAGGCAGGGAGGTGTTTGGTTAATATTGTAACCACATTGTCATATTGTAATTATTGTAACTTTTAATAATGTTAATATTTTTAATTTTCTTTCTTTAATTAATTATAATTAATATAATTAATTTTCTTTTTTTAACGTTAATATTGTAACTTTTGTCAACAAGTGGACCACACTTGTTGTGTGGTCCACTTATCAAGTGGATACTATATATATATAAAAAATTTAAGGTTGTTGGGGCCAGACGGATGGAACGAATTCCGCACTGGAATGAATCGGCTTTGTCCCATATACAGTATCCACTCAATTTAACGGCCTATATGGGGCTGTACCCTGGTCATTATTTCCGGAGCTCCGGTACTTCCGAAGTTAAGTGTCGGTAATTTTTCAAGCAACGTTCAGGTAAGATGTATTTTATACAGACAGCCACTGGATCCACCACTCTAGTGCCTTCTACCCTGTGACGTCACAGATTCACGGCACATTGTTTTGATTTGTCATGAGGCTGGAGTATTCATTCCGTGACTTTGTTGGACATATCTGCACAATCAAGGAACATCCGTGCACCATGTTGGCTCCAAATGCTCTCGTTGTGTCAGTGATGGCTGACTGGTGGGTGGATGGGCAGGCAGGCAGGGATGGAGAGGCAGGGAGAAAGGCAGAGCTTGGGAGGGAGGCAGGCAGAGGCAAGGAGGGAGGGAGGGAGGCAGGCAGGCAGGCAGCTTGGGAGGGAGGGGGAGGGAGGCAGGCAGGCAGAGCTTGGGAGGGAGGGAGGGAGGCAGGCAGGCAGAGCTTGGGAGGGAGGGAGGGAGGCAGGCAGGCAGAGCTTGGGAGGGAGGGAGGCAGGCAGGCAGGGCTTGGGAGGGAGGGAGGGAGGCAGGCAGGCAGAGCTTGGGAGGGAGGGAGGGAGGCAGGCAGGCAGAGCTTGGGAGGGAGGGAGGGAGGCAGGCAGGCAGAGCTTGGGAGGGAGGGAGGGAGGCAGGCAGGCAGAGCTTGGGAGGGAGGGAGGGAGGCAGGCAGGCAGAGCTTGGGAGGGAGGGAGGGAGGCAGGCAGGCAGAGCTTGGGAGGGAGGGAGGCAGGCAGGCAGGCAGAGCTTGGGAGGGAGGGAGGCAGGCAGGCAGGCAGAGCTTGGGAGGGAGGGAGGGAGGCAGGCAGGCAGAGCTTGGGAGGGAGGGAGGCAGGCAGGCAGAGCTTGGGGGAGGGAGGGAGGCAGGCAGGCAGAGCTTGGGAGGGAGGGAGGCAGGCAGGCAGAGCTTGGGAGGGAGGGAGGCAGGCAGGCAGAGCTTGGGAGGGAGGGAGGCAGGCAGGCAGAGCTTGGGAGGGAGGGAGGCAGGCAGGCAGAGCTTGGGAGGGAGGGAGGCAGGCAGGCAGAGCTTGGGAGGGAGGGAGGCAGGCAGGCAGAGCTTGGGAGGGAGGGAGGCAGGCAGGCAGAGCTTGGGAGGGAGGGAGGCAGGCAGGCAGAGCTTGGGAGGGAGGGAGGCAGGCAGGCAGAGCTTGGGAGGGAGGGAGGCAGGCAGGCAGAGCTTGGGAGGGAGGGAGGCAGGCAGGCAGAGGGAGGGAGGGAGGGGAGGGAGGCAAGGCTTGGGAGGGAGGGAGGCAGGCAGGCAGAGCTTGGGAGGGAGGGAGGCAGGCAGGCAGAGCTTGGGAGGGAGGGAGGCAGGCAGGCAGAGCTTGGGAGGGAGGGAGGCAGGCAGGCAGAGCTTGGGAGGGAGGGAGGCAGGCAGGCAGAGCTTGGGAGGGAGGGAGGCAGGCAGGCAGAGCTTGGGAGGGAGGGAGGGAGGGAGGCAGGCAGGCAGAGCTTGGGAGGGAGGCAGGCAGGCAGAGCTTGGGAGGGAGGGAGGGAGGCAGGCAGGCAGAGCTTGGGAGGGAGGGAGGCAGGCAGAGGCTGGGTAGTAGGCAGGGGGGGGGGGGGGAGGTAGGCAGGCAGGCAGGCAGGCAGCCTGCCTGCCTGATGGATGGAGGGAGGGAGGGATGGTTGGATGGAGGGAGGGAGCTGGGAAGGAGGGAGGGAGGGAGCTGGGAAGGAGGGAGGGAGGGATGGAGCATAATGGATGTTGAAGTGAAGCAGAGACAGTGTGTGTATGGGAAGTATGGGGGGGGAGGCGGGGGGGGGGGAGGCGGGGGGGGGGGGGGGGAGGTGGTGGGGAAGGGAAGAGATAAGCCTAACACTTTACCTAGTTAACCAGATGTTTCTTAATTAAATTCTGGATGTACATCATATATATTTTTGCTTACAGATTTTGTTTAGTAATAATATTAGAATAATAAAAAGTTATAAAATACTTGTTTCATGAATGCTTTATTAGATGGAGATTCTCCAGGCTGTCTCTGGCTGGCTGGCAGTCTACTGAGCCATTTCCCAGAAGGGTCTTGGGGGGGGGGGGGGGGGAGGCGGAAAGTGAGGGTGTGGGGAGGCAGAAAGTGAGGGTGTGGGGGGAGAGGTTCAGTGAGGGAGGGGATGAAAGGGGTAGGTGGCCTGCTTGCCATGTGAGGACCCTCTGATGCAAAGAAACCCAATACTGACCTTCGGTAATATCGACCACCAGACCGTTATATGAGGCTCTAAATACCGGTCTCCCAAACCGGTTGTTATTACCGGCAGATCGGTATAAAAGAGGCCGTTAAATTGAGTGGATACTGTAGTTCGTTCAAGTGAGGACACACTGATTATAAAGTGAGTCATCTTGAAACAAGAAGGAAACTGTAGAATACACACAACAAAGATCTTATAAAGGTTGTAATGGGAAAGACAAGACAGTGATATTTAGATGTGGTATTACCAATGGTTTCTCAGCCGAGGGAGGCCTCCCTCTAAAAGAAAAGTTCCATGGGTAACCAAGACAACAGTGAAGGTAAACAAACAATAGCGAAGACTAGATAGAAAAAATATTAAGATAATAAAAATAAGCAAGAATATTTCAGCAATTATGAACAAGAGAAGCAGGGCATTTTTTAATGTCACTTAAAATGCATCTGCTTTGCCGTGTGTCTATGTATGTGGATATAATTACCCAAGTGAAGTTATAGGATAAGAGCTATGATCACAGTGTCTTGTCTTCCCAACACTCTTTGTCATATGCTGCTTTGAAACTATAGATGTTGTGTGCAAGCATATGCATGTGAATGCTTGTGTGAATGTTTATTTAACTCCTTACTTTTGTCTAAGGCAGCTAAATTCAGCATGGTACAATTAATCCTCCAAATTTTATAATACTCTATCACACCTTCCGATAAGAGCTCTAAACTGAGGCGGGTTCCATTATCTCCACTCTTGATGCATTCTGCAGTCTTACCACCATTTCTAGCTTGGAATATTTTCTTGTGCATCTTTAACATTAGCATTTCCTATTTCCACCTGTGCCCCATTTATTCTATTTCCCAACCGTCTCATCTATCACCTTCAGTGTCTTGAATGTTGTGGGTTTTTCTTCTCTGGTTCTTCCCTCTTTTAGTGTTGTTAGACTGAACTCCTTTAGCCAGTCTTCATAGCTCAAGTCCTTCAACTTTTGTCACCAGTCTTGTAGCAAATCTCTGAACTTTCTCAATCTTTTGTGCACATGTGAAAGTAAATTAAAAATAAAAAAAAAAGTATCCGTACCTCCCACTGAAATGAGCTGCTTCTCCATTGAGTTTATTCATGCAGACCACATTTCTAGCATTGTCTGGATTGCCAAGACAATATTCACGCCATGTATCACTGTCTTCTGGTTGATATTCATCTTCATCCCCAACACCACCGATAAACTTCTTGTTTGCATAAATGACCACATCATGCAACGAAACATTACCATTTAGATGCATGATGGTGGTACCGCGGGGAATCTGAGAGATAATTTGGTTTATTCTTCACTGAATTCAAGCCTAATGAAAACTATATAAATTTCGATCTCTAGTGATCGAGAGAAGTATTCCCAGTGTCTATGGCAGTTATACTTGATTAAACAAACAATATTAGAATTACTCTTAAATAACAAAATAGTTGCCCCTTTCTCTGTCTGTAGATATAAAACAGTGTATTTCAATATACTAAATGTAATACATACGAAGAAAGTGAGCGAGGCTGGATGTGGTGAGCGGGTAGGTTAGAAAGCTTCAAGTGGGGTAAATAAATAGAAGAATGTAGGTGAGGATTGGCATATGGTAGGTGGGGTGGGTGCCGTCATATTGGGGATGGCAGCATGGTTTTTAGGTTTATCATGGAGCAAGTGGGTTGTGGGAGTGTTGGATGGAAAGTATGATGGAGGTGGTGGTGAAGGAGTCCTGAGTTGGTGGTGGTGGAGGAGACCCGAGTTGGTGGAGGTGGTGGTGGAGGAGTCCTGAGTTGATGGAGGCAGAGGAGTCAATGAATGGGGGGTAGGGATTAAGGAGGAGGATAAGAGAGCAATATGTTGCTGGACCAATTGGAAACTAATTACAGTATATAAAATTAAATAATGGAAGGAAGAATATTATGTTTTGTTTTATGTAGGGATTAAAGAGGAAATATGTTGCTGGACTAAATGAAACAATGGAAGAAAGAATTGTATGTTTTATTTTTACAAGCTTAGGTATGTAGCATCATGTTGCTACACATGTCATTCCAACGGAGTGATGCAGTAGCCAGAGCGGTGTGGTGGAGTTGAACAACAACAACTGTTGTCCAGCTGGACTCCTGGAGCAAGATTCATGAAGCAGTTATGCAAGTACTGTACTTACAAACGTGTACATCTTTCCTCAATATTTGATGGCTTTGGTTACATTTATTAAACAATTTACAAGCATGAAAGCTTCCCAATCAACTGTTATTGTTATAAACAGCTTCCTGGTGCTTCAAAGTTCATTAACTGTTTAATAATTGTAAGCAAAGCCGCCAAAGATTGAGAAAAGATGTACTGTACAGGTTCGCAAGTGCTTGCGTAACTGCTTTATGAATCCGGGTCCAGGAACTGGCCCAACAATGCACATCTTACGAACAAATCCACAAGGGCCGTGACGAGGATTCGAACCTGCGTCCGGGAGCATCCCAGATGCTGCCTTAATCGACTGAGCTACAACATGGTCAAAAGAGTTGAAACTGAAGTTCTACTGAACTTACTGGATCCTGCAGCCTCTCCGAGACACAAACCAGGGTTTTGCAAAACTTCCCCATGCACTCGAGCTATATCAATAGGCCGTTCTCCCTCTTCACCCTTACTTCATTACACATAGAAATCACAATAGCATGATGCATCAAATGATGTTCATTTGATGCATCACGCTATTGTGATTCTGTGTGTAATGCACATCTTCAAGTCTGACACAAAGAATAATGTCTTCTACTGAATCTTCCAAAAGAAAGACAAAAAACAACTTATCAATAGCCTTTCTTCCTCATCCAATTTTGCACAAACTTCCTGCAGCTGAGCTCCCAGCAGCCAGGACAATGAGAACGAAGTCTAGCCAAGTGTGCACTTTCAAGTTCCTCTGTGGCACACCTGTGGCTTTTTACAATTGTGTTCTGCTACTCAACACTTGGAACACAGAGCAATAACAGGTCACCAGGTTCACTGCCCCATCTGTCTTAGTTGCAGAATTCCTGCTGCCTAGGAAAGAGGTAAAGGAATTTTCAAACCTACCGTTATCATACTCCCAGCAACAAAAGGTGGGACCTGGTGAAACCAATTACGCTCGATACTGAGGGAAATGGCTGAAAGCATTTAGTGCCAAATTTTGTCAGAGGAACAAAACTATGACACAATTGACTGTAAGCAGACCAGCAAGGAATAAACATTAAAACACATGTGAAAGCGTTAAATAAAAGCATGTATCCAATGTGCAAAGACGCAGTTTCAATGCACAAACAAGTCACTAAACTTTAACTCGGTTCTTTGCCTGCCTTTGACAAAGTCCCTCCAGGAAAGATTCAGACAAGGTCCGGTAAGATGGAACATATTGTGGTTCTGATGCTGCCACCTGATGGTGGGTAAGATGCACACAAGGGCATGTAAACATTTTGATTGTATGAATTTTGAGATTTCTATAGCTCATTATAGCTGGAAGATCTCCTCCAGTGTGCCCTAGAACCACTACACCATTGCAGGAACATTTAAGAAGTTCCCCATGTCACAACTGCCTAGAATGTCACCCAACATCAATGTCACTGCATGATTCACTACTCCATTGACACACAACTTGATTAACCAAGTTGAACAGCCAAGAAACAAATTATTGTTGTTAGTTTGAATATAATTAAGTTTTCTCACGATATTGTATATAAAAATAGAAAAAAAATTACCATAGGTAGGACAACAATGCTCCATTTTCAGAAGCAGGCATACTATTATTTTTTAAAATGTACATTAATAAAAAATAAATTTTTATTCAGGTAAGGTACATACATACAAGGTAAGATACAAAGTTGATGGATTTATAGATAGAGCTAGTACATACAATGCCTAAAGCCACTATTATGCAAAGCATTTCGGGCAGGAAAAACATTAAAGACTAAAACTTAATACTAATTCAGTTTAAAGTATAAAATGTGTTGAGAACAAATAAAAATAAGTGGGAACATGGCTGAAAAAGCAGCACAAATACAATTAGGTCGACAAACAGTGTTGTTTAAAAAAACAGACATGGGTTGACAATAGAGGGGTAAGGTAGGTTACAGGGAATTTATTAGGTAGTGCTTCATTTTTATCTTAAACTGGTTGAGAGGGGTACAGTCTTTAACATGGTTGGGAAGATCATTCCTCATTCTGGGTCCCTTGATTTGTAGAGCATTTCTAGTTTGATTAAGTCGTACTCTTGGAATATCAAAACTGTATTTGTTTGTGGTGTGGTGCTCATGGGTTCTGTTACAACCTTCAATGAAGCTTTTGAGGTCAGGATTGGCATTACAGTTCAGCATTTTATATATGTATAATACACATGAGAGAATGTGCAGTGACTTAATATCTAGCATATTCAGAGATTTGAGTAGGGGTACCTAGTGATGTCTGGGACCAGAGTTGGATATTGTCCTAATAGCAGCTTTGTGTTGAGTAATTAGAGGATGTAAATGATTTTGGGTAGTAGAACCCCAAGCACAAATACCATAGTTGAGATATGGATAGATGAGGGAGTAATAGAGAGTCACCAGGGCAGGGCGGGGTACATAATATCTGATCTTAGAAAGAATGCCAACAGTTTTTGAAACTTTTTGATATATATAGATAATTTATTAGGTAATTTAAGTTTCAAACCATTACGATGGGACATCCTCAAGATATTAAATAGAAACCAGCTGAAAGAAAAACTCTGGCTAGTGTAATGAAATATAACACCTCTTTCCAGGTGGCTTCCCAATAGCTTCCTTCCAAATCAGCACTGGCACCATAGAACTGTATTGGAAATATTAAGCTTATGTTGGCAATTTTTGTCTACGGCAAGTAAATACCATTTCACACTGACTTGCCCACTCTGTGGAGTGCAGACCAAAAAGGAAAACAAGAAAGGGAGAACAAATCCACAAGGGCCGTGACGAGTCTTTGAACCTGCGTCCGAGATCATCCCAGACGCCTTTATTGACTGAGCTACGACATGGTCAAAAGAGTTGAAAGCAAAGTTCTACTGAACTTATTGGATCCTGCAGCCTCTCCAAGTCACAAACCAGGGTTTTACACAACTCCCACATGCACTCGAGCTATGTCAATAGGCCGTTCTCGCTCTTCGCCCTTACTTCATTACACACAGAAATTTGTTTGTTCGTTCACAGAAATTTGAGGTTCGAATCCTCGTCACGGCCCTTGAGGATTTGTTCATTTGATGCATCATGCTATTGTGATTTCTGTGTGTAATGAAGTAAGGGAGAAAAGGAAGAACAGCCTATTGACATAGCTCGAGTGCATGGGGGAGTTGTGTAAAACCCTGGTTTGTGTCTCGGAGAGGCTGCAGGATCCAATAAGTTCAGTAGAACTTCGGTTTCAACTCTTTTGACCATGTCGTAGCTCAGTCGATAAAAAGCAACATCTGGGATGATCTCGGACATAGGTTCGAATCCTCGTCATGGCCCTTGTGGATTTGTTCATTTGATGCATCACGCTATTATGATTTGTGTGTGTAAGAAAGGGAGCCCAAGACAGCTAACCACTAGTACACTACTGTACATACGAATGAATCGAAATACATCCTCTTACGTGCAAGAATGTGGAGTTTGTATGTTTTTCCCCCTTCCTACACAGGCTTCTACACACCTTGGGTGGGATGCTGCCTAGGACATTTAACGCCCAGACCTGGCCATATGCGAGTGTTGAAAGTTCAGCTCTAAGTGCAAAAGGCTTTCTCCGGCTATCGTGCAAGCTATGAAAATTTTGAAGGAAAACAAAATACTTTTAACAAACCAAGCATACCTGCCATAATCAGACAGAATAAACACCATACCTGCCATAATCAGACAGAATAAACACATGATAAAGGAATACAGAAAGTTTGAATGACTTGCTCAATTCATAGCATGAGAACGAAAGTATTAGTCGGGAGAGTAAAAAGAAACTTCACTTAATGTCTTTCAGTTTAATATGTGGTACTGCATATATTATGCATCCCTAGAGTGATGAAGATGAACACACTAACAACTATTTGCACTAATAAGACACAAGGGACAGGAAATAAAGAGATATTAATCTACCAGCAGCTCCTAAGCAAGGCAACATTTCCTTGTAATGTGCAATGCTGTCTAAGCTCACTGATCCAAATTACAGTACAGGTATACTTAAAGGACCTCCTGCTGCATAAGCCAGACATTTTGATATGCAATATTCTTACAAGGGAAGTCTGAAGATGACCATATTGAATTTTTTTAACCATAACCTCCATATTTCTTACACACACACACACACTATAAATAGAAAATAAAATTTAAAAAGCGTAACCTCAGCTTAACTTGTTGTAGCTTGTTTTCTTGTGCGATACTGTAAATCTAGAAATGTATAGTTCTTAAAAATTTACATAACCTAAACTCCAATTATCCAAATTTTTATTCGGATACGGCAAAGTTTTGCCAGAAAATTATCTAAGTTTGACTTACAACTCTGTGGCAGTCTGCGTTATCCATCCAAATTTCTGGTTTTCAAAATTTCTGTTAGGATATTGTGAAGTTTGGCAGAAAATTATCTGAACCTGATTTTGGCCAGATAACCCAATTATTCAGTTTGGCAGGCCTTGGATAACCAAGTTCATACAATATTTAATTACTGCATAACCAATGAGGAGGAATGCAGGATAAGAGTACATAAAAATTAATAGACTTTAACCCTTAGACAGCAGTTATCATCAAGTGGTAATTCACAGGGTAATGCAGTTATCTTCAAATGAAGATTTAAAAACTTATTTTCTGGGTTTTACATGTATGATGCATATATTGTATGGATATACAGTAGAGTAATAGGTCAATGAGGATGTAATGGAGTTTACCTTGACCCATAAAAAAAAAAATCCTACCACCATTTCATAGTACAAATGCAGTTATCACGAATGTTGCAAAGGGAATGCAGTCATCATGTGACGATTAAACAATTATTGTCCGAGTTTTACATGCATGATGCAACTATGGATATAAAAGCTCTCTTATGTAAATAATAAAAACAAATGATAAAAGATCAGTGAAACATCAGAGAATAAAACAGAAGCATCAGCAAAGTCGAGCACTATGTGTTGACAAGTGCCAGAAGCAGGACTGTAGAATGTCTCCACCCAGTGAAACTATAAATATTCACTTTTTTGCCCAAAACGCTAAGCATATTAGTGGCTTTAGGCATAGTATGTATTAGTTCTATCTAGAAATCCAACATTCGGTTTGTAACTCATCTTGTATGTATGTACGTTTACCTGAATAAACATTTATTTATTTATTTATTACTTATTTGTGTTTTTCTTATATTCTGCAAATAAATTAATAATTCTATAATGAAAAATTATTTTTTTTATTTTTTTTATTTTTTTTATTTTTTTTGTGCACAGTGTATTTTTGTGTATGATCATTTTTCCACAGCCACTGTCTACGGGTTAAAGCATGCAATTAGAATAGGAAAATGAGAAAGTTGAGGAAAAGAAAAAGAAAATTTATAATAATAATAATGATCTCAGAGATAAGGACAAACATCTTACACTGGTACAGTAAAGAAGTAAAGAAAATGAACCTTAACTCATTCAAAGTAAATATCATACAGTTTATTTAAATGAACACTGTATTTCAGACTCATCAGATGAATCCATTTTGTACTAGTTTTCAATATTCAACAATAATTATAGCTTTTATTAGTATAAATACCAGTAACAGCAACTTACCCATTTGCGAATGTCTGGATTTTTACTATAAATTTTATCATCTGGACCTCGAGAGTGGATCTTGATGTCTTCAAGCACAGCGCTGTACCCATCTGGCAAGATCCCTGCGGGAACCACAGCACTCACTATCTGCACTTTCCTCTCCTCTTTCTTCACCTTTGCAAACTTTTCTAATCTGTGGATTCAAGTACCTGTATACTGTACAGTATATTTTAACTTCTGCTTCATAACATGTCAACACCCAGACAAGGCAAATAAATATTGGTCAGAATAATTGAAAGAAAACTAAATGGCAAATACTTGAGCAAAGGACTAAATTTGTTTTGCTGTTTAACAAAAGAATGGCAGGATTATATCAAAGAGTATAGTGCTATAAATAAACTATATACTTTCTATAAATAAGAAAGTACTGTACACCAATTATACATATTTTTACTTGCACAGGTTTTCCATAAGTTTAGGACCGAGATTAACTGGATATGGTATTTAGGAAACAAGTGTGGTGGCAAAGGAGGAAAACTGAATACATATTGTACACTATTACAGAATATTTGTTTCACAAAGTTGTATCAAGGAATGATTTTCGTGAAACTATAATGTTAGTAGTGGCATAAGTGCATTGAAAGGTATACCAAACATATTCAGAGTCAATCTACTGTACTTAAATATTTTAAGTCAGATGTTTATCAGGAATATATCACCAGTACAAATGCTGCATAGTTCTGTGAAATATATAATAATGTTTGAGATGAAGAAATCTTAAATGAAATCAAGTACTGTACTGTACAGTAATATTAATGAGATTACTATGCTTATTATTTTTTTACAAAGGCACCTTATTGTGACAGAAATTAAGAATTATACAAAAAATTTCAATGATCATATAACTGATGGGAAGAGAAAAGGCTGTAGACTTTCGTGGAAATAAATAGTCCTACAGGTATACAATATAAATAGTCTCTACATACTACACAATTTATTCTTAAATACTACAAATAACGAATACTTCACACGATTAAAATTAAAGAAATACTGTAATAAGAATATAAACACGAGAGTGAGTGAGTGAGTGAGTGAGTGAGTGAGTGAGTGAGTGAGTGAGTGAGTGAGTGAGTGAGTGAGTGAGTGAGTGAGTGAGTGAGTGAGTGAGTGAGTGAGTGAGTGAGTGAGTGAGTGAGTGAGTGAGTGAGTGAGTGAGTGAGTGAGTGAGTGAGTGAGTGAGTGAGTGAGTGAGTGAGTGAGTGAGTGAGTGAGTGAGTGAGTGAGTGAGTGAGTGAGTGAGTGAGTGAGTGAGTGAGTGAGTGAGTGAGTGAGTGAGTGAGTGAGTGAGTGAGTGAGTGAGTGAGTGAGTGAGTGAGTGAGTGAGTGAGTGAGTGAGTGAGTGAGTGAGTGAGTGAGTGAGTGAGTGAGTGAGTGAGTGAGTGAGTGAGTGAGTGAGTGAGTGAGTGAGTGAGTGAGTGAGTGAGTGAGTGAGTGAGTGAGTGAGTGAGTGAGTGAGTGAGTGAGTGAGTGAGTGAGTGAGTGAGTGAGTGAGTGAGTGAGTGAGTGAGTGAGTGAGTGAGTGAGTGAGTGAGTGAGTGAGCGAGCGAGCGAGCGAGCGAGCGAGCGAGCGCGTGCGTGCGTGCGTGCGTGCGTGCGTGCGTGCGTGCGTGCGTGGTGTTTACAGCACAGTGCATTGGGCCCAATTGACATCATTTCTGGGACACGTGCAAAGCCTCTTGGTACGGGACACAGCATGTGTGGTTCAACTACTATACTGTACACACTAGTCAATTTGGCAACAATAATATAGAACCTGGTAACACACCTTCAATTTCATATGTTGAAATAACCTGAATTTACCTGAGGGCCATCATCTACTTAGTGACCACATTGGGGACAAGAAACCGGCAGCTTGTCAAAGGTTCACGTGATGATTTGCATTGCATTGCATTGCTTGCCAGTGTGTAGCAACCTGATGCCCAACCAATGCTTGCTTGCCTGTGTGTAGCAACCTGATACCCAATGCTTGCTTGCCTGTGTGTAGCAACCTGATACCCAATACCTGCTTGCCTGTGTGTAGCAACCTGATACCCAATGCCTGCTTGCCTGTGTGTAGCAACCTGATACCCAATGCCTGCTTGCCTGTGTGTAGCAACCTGATACCCAATGCCTGCTTGCCTGTGTGTAGCAACCTGATACCCAATACCTGCTTGCCTGTGTGTAGCAACCTGATACCCAATGCCTGCTTGCCTGTGTGTAGCAACCTGATACCCAATGCCTGCTTGCCTGTGTGTAGCAACCTGATACCCAATGCTTGCTTGCCTGTGTGTAGCAACCTGATACCCAATACCTGCTTGCCTGTGTGTAGCAACCTGATACCCAATGCCTGCTTGCCTGTGTGTAGCAACCTGATACCCAATGCCTGCTTGCCTGTGTGTAGCAACCTGATACCCAATGCCTGCTTGCCTGTGTGTAGCAACCTGATACCCAATGCTTGCTTGACTGTGTAGCAACCTGATACCTAATGCTTGCTTGCCTGTGTAGCAACCTGATACCCAATGCTTGCTTGCCTGTGTGTAGCAACCTGATAACCAATGCTTGCTTGCCTGTGTGTAGCAACCTGATACCCAATGCCTGTGTGACTGAGTATTGCCTTGATATACAGTGCCTGCGTGTTTGTATAAACCCAATACTTGGCATAACAAATTCGTACAGATAACTACAAAAACTAACGTGAACAGTATTAAAACTTACTGTAAGGCAGCCTCTTCACTTTTTTTAGCAAGTACTATCATTTTTTTAATTGCTGAAGAAAGCGTTTTGGGCATATTTCTGTTGTAATGGTCTCTGTACACGCATCGTAACTCTGACAGCAATTCATCAACAGAAAGACGTTTATCCATGACTTCCTGAAAAAAATCAAGAGTAAAATGAAACTAAACCAGTGTAAATATTATGATATAATAACAATAATAATGATAATTAAGACACTAATAATGATAATGATGATAATTATGACGCTAATAAAGATGATATAAATGACAATATAGTTCATAGCAACTAATATAGATAAGGAATACAGTGATATATACAGTACAGATAACCGATACCAAATAAATAAATAATAAATAAATAAATGTTTATTTAGGTAAGGTACATACATACAAGAGATTTTACAAAGTTTGTTGGATTAATAGATAGAGCTAGTACATACAATGCCTAAAGCCACTATTACGCAAAGCATTTCGGGCAGGAAAAACATTAATGACTAAAGCTTAATACTAATGGTTATAAAGAATAAAATGTGTTGAGAACAAATAAAAATAGAGATAAAAGACGGGGGAACATGGCTGAAAAAGCAGCACAAATACAATTACAAATTATTACAGACAATTACAGACAAACAGCATTGTTTAAAAAAAAACAGACATGGGTTGACAATAGAGGGGTAAGGTAGGTTACAGGGAATTTATTAGGTAGTGCTTCATTTTTATCTTAAACTGCTTGAGAGAGGTACAGTCTTTAACATGGTTGGGAAGGTCATTGCACATTCTGGGTCCCTTAATTTGTAGAGCATTTTTAGTTTGATTAAGTCGTACTCTTGGAATATCAAAACTGTATTTATTTCTGGTGTGGTGCTCTTGGGTTCTGTTACAACCTTCAATGAAGCTTTTGAGGTCAGAATTGGCATTAAAGTTCAGCGTTTTATATATGTATAATACACATGAGAGAATGTGCAGTGACTTAATATCTAGCATATTCAGAGATTTGAGTAGGGGTACCGAGTGATGTCTGGAGCCAGAGTTGGATATTGTCCTAATAGCAGCTTTGTGTTGAGTAATTAGAGGACGTAAATGATTTTGGGTAGTAGAACCCCAAGCAAAAATACCATAGTTGAGATATGGATAGATGAGGGAGTAATAGAGAGTCATCAGGGCAGGGCGGGGTACATAATATCTGATCTTAGAAAGAATGCCAACAGTTTTTGAAACTTGTTTTTATATATTTAGAATGTGTCCCTGGAAATTCAGCTTGTGGTCAATGAGAACGCCAAGGAACTTGCCATCTAATTTGTTACAAATTTGGGTACTGTTTATTTTGAGATTTATTTGATTAGAGGATTTATTGCCAAACAGACTATAGAAAGTTTTGTCAATGTTAAGGGTGAGTTTGTTAACAGTTAGCCTAAGATGGACTTTATTTAGCTCAGTATTTACTGTGGCATTTAGAGCAAGGGGGTCAGGACTGGAGTAAATGAAGGTTGTGTCGTCTGCAAATAGAATTGGTTTGAGGTGTTGGGAGGCATTTGGAAGGTCATTAATGTAGATGAGAAAGAGGAGAGGGCCAAGTATGCTGCCCTGAGGAACACCAATGTTGATGGGTAGGGTGGGAGAAATTGAATTATTCACAGAAATATACTGGAGCCTGTCAGTAAGGTAAGATTTGAGGTATTGCAGGGAGTGTCCACTGACTCCATAGTTATGTAACTTAAGAAGAAGGTTTTGGTGGTTGACTGTCAAAAGCCTTACGCATGTCCACAAATAACCCAACAGGGAACTGACTTTTTATCAAGAGCTGCATGAATCAAGTTAATCATACTAATAAGTGCATCGTTAGTGCTTTTTTTGGGGTCTGAAGCCATATTGACAAGAGCTAAGTATATTGTGTTTGGCTAGATAAGAGTAAAGCTGCTTGTAAATTAGTTTTTCAAATATTTTTGACAAGTTAGGCAGGATTGATATAGGTCTGTAGTTGTTAACATCTGTGAGATCACCACATTTGTGGACAGGGGTTACTCTTGCTTTTTTTAGAATGTCTGGAAAGGTTTGGAGTTCAAGTGACTTGTTGAAGAGCAATGCAATAGCAGAGGCTAAAGATCTGGAGGCTTTTTTGTAAATTAAAGTTGGTATCTCCTCAAGGGCACTAGACTTGGTTTTAATGGAAGAGAAGAACCTATTGAACTCAATAGCAGAATCAGAGGCTGAAAGCTGACCATCGTTATTGGACATGAGTGTTGGTTTGTTATTTAAAATCTTCTTTGATCCCAATATTTGTGAAATTGTGCTCCAAGTTTTTTTAATGTTGCTCTTTATTTGGGTAAATTTACCTTCATAGTATTTAGTTTTGGCTCGTCTAATTATTTTAGATAGCAATAACAAGTAATTCTTTGAGAATTCTTTGGAGACGGTTCCTAACCTATACTTCTTCTCAAGGTCATGTTTTTTATTAATGGATTTAAGTATTCCCTTTGTAAGCCAAGGATTGTTAAGCCTTTTGGTTGTGACTTGTTTTGTAAGCATAGGACAGTGGGTGTTATAAAGCATAAGAGTTGTTTGAAAAAAAGATTGCACTGCTAGGTTGATGTCCCCTATGTTACCTAACTCGGACTCCCAGTTGACATTATCAGCAGCAGTTATAAAATTGTCTTTAGCAGTTTCATTGTGCAGCCTAAAACTTAACTCCCTTGACTCAAGAGGTGGTTTGTTAATGTTAGTTAAGAGAAATGTGAGGTAATGGTTTGTACTGCTATCGGTGATTATACCTGAAGTAAGCGAAGAGGTTATGCTGGTCCAGATGTGATCTAGAGTCGTAGCAGTACTATCAGTGATTCTAGTAGGTCTAGTGATTAAGGGTATGAGGAAGCAGGAATTCATACAGTTGAGGAAGCTAACAGCAGTAAGGTGTTCAGGCTCGCAGAGGTCAATATTAAAGTCCCCTGCGATAATTAGATGGTTTTTGTTCAGTCTGTTATCTAATATTAGATTTCTAAGGTTTGAATTGAATTCGGACACATCAGTGTTAGGAATTCTATAGACTGCACCCACAGACAGGACAGACTCGACACCCTTGACTCTGAAACTGGCGAAGATATACTCCCCACAGCAGTCTCTAGTTCTAATTATTTTTAAGCATGTTAGTTCTTGGTGGTAGTAAAGAGTACCACCACCTCTGTGAATTTGACGACAGTTGTGAATTGCCGAGTAGTTAGGCATGTTAAAGATTTGAGTAGTATCCTCTTTCAACCACATTTCAGTAAGTATAATAAAAGAGAATTTGTTAATAGTTTCAATCAAGGCACTAACATCATCGAAGTGTTTACCTAGGGATCTAACGTTCAAGTTGATTACAGAGATAGTGATTATGTGTTAATACATTGTTTACATCATGTTCTGCAAAATATCTGCAATTTAGATCATTAAAGTAATGATTGTCATAGATAGTGGATAAGAGGTTTAGTTCTGGGTCTATACTTGTCTGCATAAAAAAGGCTGGTTGTAGGAAAACAAGGCAAGAATGGCAAATTACAAAATAGAAAACAAAGAAAAAAGTAAAATAAAAATTCTAAAGTAATATAAACTTAATGGTAGTTTAAGTAATAAAAACTTAATGGGAACTAGGAATGTAAAAAATGAACTAGAATAAATAATAACAATAGATGACCAAAAAAGTCAAAAGGCAATTATGAAATCCATATGAATATGAAATCCACACTGCACATTCTCTCATGTGTAGTATACATATATAAAACGCTAAACTATAATGCCAATCCTGATCTCAAAAGCTTCATAGAAGGTTGTAACAGAACCCATGAGCATCACACCAGAAATAAATACAGTTTTGATATTCCTAGAGTACGTCTTAATCAAACTAGAAATGCTCTACAAATCAAGGGGCCCAGAATGTGGAATGACCTTCCCAACCATGTTAAAGACTGTACCTCTCTCAACCAGTTTAAGTTAAAAGCGAAGCTATACCTAATAAATTCCCTGTAACCTACCTTACCCTTCCATTGTCAACCAATGTCTTTTTTTCTTTAAAGAGCGCTGTTTGTCGACATAATTGTATTTGTGCTGCTTTTTCATCTATGTTTTCATTTCTTGTTTTCATTCTACTCATTATGCTCAATTAGTATTAAGCTTGTCATTTAAGTTTATCATGCCCGAAACGCTTTGCGTAATAGTGGCTTTAGGCATTGTATGTACTAGCTCTACCTATAAGTCTACCAATCCTTGTAAAAATTTATTGTATGTATGTACCTTACCTAAATAAAATTGTATTGTATTGTATTGTATAAAATGAAAAGCTTCTTACTATACTATTATAAGTACACTATAGTTGAATACTAAAGTTACACTAAAACAAACTGAGGTAGTTTAAGTAGAGATACACTCAGGAACACTGGATAATGAAGTTAATATTAGAGGACACAGGCAAAGCCAGTGTACTATGGAACATGGGAGTAAAAAGAAAAAGACAATAATAAAGATGACTATATATATATATTTTTTTTTTTTAACTAAAGTTAAAACCTTTTGAAAGGAAAGGCAGAGCTAAAATACACAATGGTAGTTAAATGAGATTATAATTTGAATTCAGGCTATACAGCAGCTATCCCAAATCCAGTACTAATACTGTACAGTAAACATTACACACGGGGGACCCTCCTGCAGCAGGCGTGTCTGGGACAATACAAGCCAGGGAACACTACTCACACGGGGGACCCTCCTGCAGCAGGTGTGTCTGGGACAATACAAGCCAGGGAACACTACTCACACGGGGAACCCTCCTGCAGCAGGCGTGTCTGGGACAATACAAGCCAGGGAACACTACTCACATGGGGGACCCTCCTGTAGCAGGCGTGTCTGGGACAATACAAGCCAGGGAACACTACTCACACGGGGAACCCTCCTGTAGCAGGCGTGTCTGGGACAATACAAGCCAGGGAACACTACTCACACGGGGACCCTCCTGTAGCAGGCGTGTCTGGGACAATACAAGCCAGGGAACACTACTCACACGGGGGACCCTCCTGCAGCAGGCGTGTCTGGGACAATACAAGCCAGGGAACACTACTCACACGGGGGACCCTCCTGTAGCAGGCGTGTCTGGGACAATACAAGCCAGGGAACACTACTCACACGGGGGACCCTCCTGCAGCAGGCGTGTCTGGGACAATACAAGCCAGGGAACACTACTCACATGGGGGACCCTCCTGCAGCAGGCGTGTCTGGGACAATACAAGCCAGGGAACACTACTCACACGGGGGACCCTCCTGCAGCAGGCGTGTCTGGGACAATACAAGCCAGGGAACACTACTCACAAGGGGAACCCTCCTGCAGCAGGCGTGTCTGGGACAATACAAGCCAGGGAACACTACTCACACGGGGGACCCTCCTGCAGCAGGCGTGTCTGGGACAATACAAGCCAGGGAACACTACTCACACGGGGGACCCTCCTGCAGCAGGCGTGTCTGGGACAATACGTATCGAGACAGGAAGCGCGCAAGAGTTCTGGGCCGCAATTCTATGTCAAATACGTTTTGAACATTTATTTTTTTCTCCCAGGACGCGCGCGGTAGCCAGTTGTCCGTGTTCTACAGCTGCTCTTCTCGCCGTTATAATAATTATATTGCACTCTTGGTCGTCCTTTTTCTTCGAGACACGTTGTGCAACTTGCGTCACTGTTGCAGTGTTCACAATTTGGGTAAATACTAAACGTAATTGGTGACGTCACAGATGACGGACCCGCTGTGTACTGCCTCAGTTCCTCTGCCCCAGCTGGAGATCTGCTCGTGACGTCATGGATATTGGTCGTGACGTCATGGATATTGGTCGTGACGTCATGGATATTGGTCGTGACGTCATGGGTATTGGTCGTGACGTCATGGATATTGGTACGTCATGAAAGGTGTTGCTGGCGTACGGATAAGAGTTTCCTTAGCAGATAATGCTATCATGCAAGACGAGCCACATTAATGGATCATGCAATAGATTCGTCAGACTCCTAGATGTTACTGCTGCTCGTGTTAGACTCTGCTATAAGTATCTCTGGGAATGTTGATGACCTGCTGCTGATGTAGTGTGGACTCTTCCCTTCAACAATAGCAGCAATCAACAATCCCTTTCATTCCTAAAAGCAGTCTCCGTGGTGTAGTGGTAAGACACTCGCCTGGCGTTCCGCGAGCGCTATGTCATGGGTTCGTATCCTGGCCGGGGAGGATTTACTGGGCCCAATTCCTTAACTGTAGCCTCTGTTTAACGCAACAGTAAAATGTGTACTTGGATGAAAAAACGATTCTTCGCGGCAGGGGATCGTATTCCAGGGACCATAGGATTAAGGACTTGCCCGAAACGCTACGCGTACTAGTGGCTGTACAAGAATGTAACAACTCTTGTATATATCTAAAAAAAAAAAAAAAAAAAAATAACAACACCTCTCAGCTGACTGCCATGACGTCATGAGTGTGTTCCGCTCCTGCCATGGGCGCATCCGATCCCATGATCGTCGTCGCCCCTAAATCAACACAACAACAATACTCCTGCCATGCTACAAATTAATCAACACTTGCAACACCTTAAACCACCTACTGGCCCCTTGTCCTGACTTTATTTATTTATTTGTATTTGTTTATATATATGCAGGAAGATACATTGGGTTTATGAGAGTACATAACATTGATGATTTTATATTTCTGATCAGGGAAAGGAATACACCAACAGTATGGGGGCGTAATATATTACGTAGAAGTATAGGATATAATCACTGATTTTCTCAGAAAAGCGGTGAAATTCTGCGAAGAAGAAAATGCATTACCATGAGTCGGAGACTAACCGACTATGTAGCGCGCGCGCACCGAGTGGGGTACTTAAATGCAAGCCGCGGGCTATTCTGATAAAGAACACCTATAAACATGACCACCTCACTACCAACTGGCAGCACAAACACTTCCTAGCAGTCCGCATTCACACTCAACACGGGCAGATGATCATTGGTACCACATACATTCGTCCAAACTTAGGTCTCCCCCTCCAGGACCTAAACACTTTTCAACCACACACACATACCAGTCTTCCTCCTAGCAGACCTAAATGCAAAACACCAAACATTCAACCATCGCCAACACAACATGCACGGTCAACAACTACACCAACTCCACCAAAACAAACACCTCACCTTCCTTGGCCCTGACTTCCAAACAACCTACACACACAATGGAACTGGGAGCCCAGATCTCATCCTCACCAACAGAGCAGGCACCCACCTCCAACACTACATCACACCCGGACCCCTCACCGGCTCAGATCACATACCCATATCACTCACTCTCCAGCAACCCCATACTCATCCCAGCCACCCCATAATATGTATCAAAATGCAGATTGGGAAGCCTTCAAACAACACCTAACTGCCAGCACACAGCCCTACAACTTTCAAGACAAACCACACACAGACATAGATTCCCAAATCCTCACCATCCAGAATAACATCATACAAGCAGCTGATGCTACCATTCCAAAAACTACCCACAAAACCAGATACTCCTTTTTTCCTTCGATCAGAACAAAAAGGCTACTCTCCTGCTATCACAACAGATTCACCCACAACCTTCACAGATACAATCAAGTAAACACAGACTTCACTATACTCAAAAACCACATACTCAACAGCCTTGACCAAGACCATGCTAACCACTGGGAGAAACTCATACATAAAGCTGAAATACAAAGAAAAACAACTCCACAACAATTCTGGAACTTCATAAAGAGGATCAGGGGAAACTACTCCTCTTCTGCCTTTACATACATCACTCACAACAATCAAAACTACACCGATCCCTCAGAAGTAGTAGACATATTCAAACAACACTGGCAGGACATCTTCAATCCCCACCCCCCACAGCCAACAGCAATACAAAACAAACAGTAGAAACATGGATCCGACACAACCCTCATGCCATCACACACTACCCTACCATTGACCTCACGACACTAGACGACTTAGAAAGTGACCTCACAGAATCAATACTACCTGAAGAAGTTAAACTCATGCTCAAGAACACCAGACGTAAAGCCCCAGGAGCCTCTGGCATTGGCCAAGCTCTCCTCAAGCAACTTCCAGACCCCCTAATCTTTGCACTCACAGACGTCTACAACGCCTCACTAGCATGAGGATATTTCCCAAGCCCATTCAAAGAAGCCACAGCAATCCTCATTCCAAAACCCCAAAAATCCCCGACAGACCCCAAGAACTACAGACCGATCAGCCTACTAGAGACATTAGGGAAGTATACGAAAAACTCATAAATCATAAACTCAGGAATCACCTAGAACACAAAAACATATTGACAGACAAACAATTTGGCTTCAGACAACACCGCTCAACACAAGACGCACTGAACATAATAACAAACTACCTCTCCATAAATAAACACCAGAGGGCCAAGACGGCCCTCATTGCAAAGGACGTCGAAAAAGCTTTCGACACTGTATGGCACGACGGCCTACGTTACAAACTCTGCACTCTATTTCAACTATCTGACAACATGCAGAGGCTACTTTGCAGCTTTCTAACAAATAGAAAAATGCAAATCAAGTTCCTCAGCAAGCTGTCAGGTTACTTCAACCTAAATGCAGGTGTCCCCCAGGGCTCAGTTCTCTCACCAACCTTATACATACTCTATATAAACGACATCCCTGACCCAATATACTGGACATCAATGACCCTTTGCTACGCTGACAACGTAATCCAACTGATCTCAGACTACGATTAACGCCCTCACACGGAAAGCACAAATAGACAAAGTCACCCTCTGGGAACACGACTGGCGAATAAAAACAAACCCCAACAAGTCTAAAATTACACACTTTTTCTACAACAAACGACGTAACCCTGACCCAGTAAAACTCTTGTAGCGAGTAGATTATCGAGTAGAAAATAATATACTCGCTCCAAATGCATTGTTAATATTCCTGTCAACCTTTGGAGATGAATGAGGTGAAGCGTTGCCCGGGCAACACGGTGAGGTGTTGCCCGAGCATCGAGCTACTGAGGAAGCAGTACGACTCTGTTTTCAGCGAGCCATTAAACACACTAAAGATTGATAACCCAAATGAATTTTTCATGGATATGATACTAACATCAAATCATATTAGACGTTACCCTATCCCCACTGGATTTTGAAGAAGCCATAAACAGTATGCCTATGCACTCTGCACTAGGCGCGGATTCTTGGAACTAAATATTCATCAAGAACTGTAAAAAAAACTATCGCAGGCCCTCCACATTCTGTGGAGACAAAGTCTAGATACTGGCGTTATTCCTGATATACTAAAAGCAGCAGAGATAGCACCACTTCATAAAGGAGGAAATAAGGCAGAGGCAAAAAATTACAGACCGATAGCACTAACATCGCACATCATAAAAAATTTTGAGAGAGTGCTAAGAAGTAAGATCACAAAATACATGGAATCACAGCATCTCCATAACCCCGGACAACATGGTTTCAGAACAGGACGCTCTTGCCTGTCGCAGTTGCTGGACCACTATGACATGGCATTAGATGCTATGGAAGACAAACAAAACGCTGATGTAATTTACACAGATTTTGCAAAAGCTTTTGATAAATGAGACCATGATGTTATTACACATAAAATGCATTCAAAAGGAATTACCGGAAAAATAGGCAGATGGATCTACAATTTCCTGACCAACAGAACCCAATGTGTAATAGTCAACAAAATAAAATCCAGCCCATCAACCGTGAAGAGTTCAGTCCCCCAGGGTACTGTGCTTGCTCCAGTACTTTTTCTCATCCTCATATCGGACATAGACAAGAACACAAACTATAGCACTGTATCATCCTTTGCAGATGACACTAGGATCTTCATGAGAGTAGGCAACATAGAGGGCACGGCAAACCTCCAGTCAGATGTAGATCAGGTCTTTCTATGGGCTACAGAAAATAATATGGTGTTTAACGAAGATAAGTTCCAGCTCATGCGCTATGGAAAAAATGAAAATATAAAAACGGAAACCACGTACAAAACTCAGGCAAATCATAACATAGAACGAAAAGGCAATGTAAAGGATCTGGGTGTACTCATGTCGGAAGACCTTACCTTTAAAGAACACAAAGTAGCTGTCACAACTGCAAGAAAAATGAGAGGTTGGATAACAAGAACTTTTCACACTAGAGATGCTACACCAATGATGATACTTTTCAAAACGCTTGTACTCTCTAGAGTGGAGTACTGCTGCACAATGACAGCCCCTTTCAAAGCTGGAGAAATTGCTGACCTGGAGAGCGTGCAGAGATCCTTTACTGCTAGAATCCACTCAGTAAAACATCTAAACCTCTTAGTAAAACTCAGCAACTCAAAACTCTTAGTAAGACTCAGTAAAACATCTTAGGACCTCTTCTATTTCTTGTATATATAAACGATCTGCCTAATGTCTCTAATATTCTCAAACCTATACTGTTTGCTGACGATACTACTCTTATCTATTCAAACCTCAACCCACATACACTAAATAATGTTGTGAATAATGAATTAAAAAAAGAGCACTTATGGATGTAAACGAACAAACTAACATTAAACATCGAAAAGACTTACTACATCTTATTTGGAAGCAAATCATCGAATGCAATTCAGCTGCAGATAGACAACATTAACATCAGTAATAAAAATGATGGCAAATTTCTTGGCCTATTCCTAGACAAGAGACAACTTCAGCACCCACATTCAACACAACTAAGAAAGTCTTTAAGACAGTTGGTATACTCTCCAAAATCAGATATTATGTTCCTAACTCTGCTCTCCTCTCACTATATTATGCACTAATCTACCCCTATCTTAATTATGGTATCTGTGCATGGGGGTCTACCACTGCAAACCACCTTAAGCCCATCATCACACAGCAAAAATCTGCTATCAGAATAATTAACTCTGCTTTCAGATAACACTCGGCTCCCTTGTTTAAATCCCTAAACTTGCTAAATATTAACTCCCTCCACACATTCTCTTGTGTCAACTACATTTACAAAACCCTGTTCTTAAATGCAAACCATGCTCTGAAACTCTCCCTGGGCAGATGTAATAGGACCCATTATCACCACACCAGAAATAAATATCTCTTTGATATCCCCAGGGTCAAACTTAATCTGTGTAAACACACTATGCAAATTAAGGGACCTAGTCTATGGAACTCACTCCCTAGTGAATTGAAAAACTGT